AATAAGAAAATCCTGATAACCCCTTTTAATGCATCACTATTATTCAGATATATATCGAGTTTTATCTATTTATTTATTTCCAGTTGTAGTCTTTCTAAATATGTACACATTAGGGTAAAATTTTTGTATTGCTCATGTACAGTGGTTTTCATTGAGGGGTGGGAGAGGGAATGGAAAGAATAAAAAAGAAAAAAAAAAAAAGGAGAAAGAGCAACAGTTTGAATGAAATGCAAATCAGCACTTTGGCTGAGGATCTGAACCTGATAACTTTTCTAAATACAAGTACAAACTCCAGACTAATAATGCTGCAGTATTTTTCAGCACATTTTTCGTTATCCAGACAGACAGATACCACAACACTTCTCAAAAGACATATTCTATACTATGCATTTCTGTTATTCTCACATCCACCAGCAAAAAGTTAGAAATTTTGAAGGACAAAAATAACAGTATAGAAAAAGATTAGTTCAGCTCTTATAAGCTCAAAGTATGCTAAAAATTGGCAAAGAGATGGATATCCTGATTTGGGGGGGAAGTTAAGAATCAGTCATTCCTGAGTCGACTTCAATGTGGAGATATAAGTCCACAAAAATTTGTGTGAGTTACGTTTGTGTGTATTTGTTTTTTAATTTCATGGAGTCAAAACTAGGACTTAAAAATGAAGAAAAAAAAAAAAAAAGAGCACCTAGACTTACTGGGCTCAGTTCATTCAAAACCTAAGGAAACTAGTTGGAATCTGTTTAGCATGCTTTTGAATCTAGTGCAGCTTTTGAGACTGTGCAGAAAAATTATGTAGAATAGGCTCTTGAGGAATCTCATAATTGTTCAGAATAGTGGAAAGAAAATGGTAAATTTTTAAATTTTGCTTGAAGAATACCTGAGAAGAACTTACTATGGAAGAATCCTGTAATTGCAGAAGGAGGACAGTTCTACTCAGTCAAGTCCAATTAGAACTAATGATGTATTATCCTGAAATAAGTGAACAAAGACTGCTGGGTGAATGGTTTACAAAATTTTCCATGGCCAAGTAATTTGGTATGAGGGAGGAATATATACGAATCTTTAAAAAGAAAAAAAACAAACAAAAAACACCAACCAACCAACCAACCAAAAAAGACAAAACTCAAGTTTTCCATAAGTGCATGTTTTGATCAGCTCTGTATATTTTCTGTTTCCAAATGCTGCTTTTCTTTTGTTGGTGCATGCCTACCTGAAAATTTCACATGGAAGTTCTGATTGCAGAATCTGCTTGGAAGCAGTTAACTGCCTCTTCCCTTCATCTTCTTTCTGGTGAAGAACATTTTCAGATTTTCAGAAATCTTTTACCAAACCAATCCACAGGAGAGTGGCCATCACCATGTTCTTGATCTCCCTATAATCTGGAACACCTCTTGATTTTTCACCAGTTCCATAGGGTTAAGACTGTGACACCTCAGCAATGTTGTGTGTGCATAAGTAGTGTTAGTCTCTTTGAAGTAAAGTATTTCCACTCATCAAAAAATGTGCTTATTCTGCATTTAATGGGGAAAAATTCTTTAGCCAGTGCAATAAATGAAAATTAATTAAAATGCAATTAAGTCATTTTATGACAGACTCTTATCTATAGAAATTTCAGGCTATTATTCTGAGGAAATTAGGCATAGTCTCTCTATAATTAGTGAGAAAATACACTGAAATGGATAATACATGTCAGAGGCTGCCAAAATACTTGTTTTTAAAATAAAGATCCTTCAAGGAATGTCCCAAACTCCAGTTTTATGGAGCTTCAGAATTTATTTGCGGACCTTTACATTACCAGACCTGCATAATTACAGGGATTAAACTGTGCCTGTAAGGCTGCCTGTTTTCTGCTGGTGTTTTCCCTCACACATACACTGCTAATTCCAGTTCAGGTGCTGGTTCTGATGGTGGGAGCTGTATCACAGAAGAAGCTCCAGGCGGCCGCCAGCACTTAAAATATTGGTTGTCTAAACCTGCTCAGAGCAGGTCTATACACAGCATGACGGGGATGCAGGGGGTTGGAAGGCATCTTTGTGTTCTCTGCTGCAAGGTCGCAGGGAATCTGATTAACCATAGTTGGTTCTCCCTTCCCTTCTCCCTTCCAAAAAACTTAGCATGCAATGTTTGTATGGAGCTTTGCCTTTGTTTCAAGATCCTTATGTATATGGCCTTGCTTCTGTATGTCAGCAGCCTGAGAGGGAAAGGTTTTAATGCATTAACATAGTCAGCCTGTAGCCTGTTTGCTTTCCCCTGTCTTATTCTTGTCTGACCATACTGAGGATAAGCTGCATAGTGCTAATTAACTTTTTAAGGGAGCAAATAGGTAAAAATGGCAAGTCGTTAAGAAAAATCTACCGACTACATTCACCCTTCCCACCTCTATTGTTTTCAGTCAAAATTAAATTCTCTACTTTATCAGAAAATGGGTCTTTCAACAGCTGATTTGCTTTTTGCTTTTGGTAATATTTAACGTATTGCCGGGAGTTTACCTTTTTATCTTGTTATCTCTTAGGGTCTCTGGAGAAGCAACACAATCTACAAAATAGCATTTTTTTCCCATAGGTCACCATAGATTTTTCACATCTTCTTTTATTCTTTCACAAGAGACTTTGTGTCTTATCAGTAGACTGCCATAAAATCCCTGTCCTGCAAGATGCTAATTGTAGTTCTGCAAGTCATAGAGCTCTGCTTTCAGTTTCATGAGCTGATTTTGAAATGGGATGTTAACTTCCAGAGGCAGCCTGTTACTGCTGCAAAGCATAACCTTGCCAGTGGTTTGACCTGATTAGTAGATTTTGGATCATCACAGCATGCCAAATCCTCTTTGGGTTAGTGGTACAGCTAGGATGTGCAGCTTTGAAATAATACCTCCCTTGGCTTAAATCCAGACTAAGCTTCAGTTTATACACTGCCCTCCAAAACAACAGGCTTCATTAGGACAGAAGTGATTGTATGAGACATCAGAGTGGCAGGTCAGAGAACATCAGTGTTAACACACCCTGATCTTGTCTGCTGACACTGCGGTTTAGTTTAATTCTTGTTTTTTGTATGTCATGTCATGTATAAAAACCCTCTGCTGATGTGAGTACACTTACATGCAAATATTCTGCAGAATCAGGTCCCAAATATAGGCAGTTTTCAAGACAAGAAAGTCTTTGAAAAGTCAGGAGTTTAAGAAAATATTGCAGAAGATATTGCAGAAGTTTCTCATAACTGTACTAATTTATAAGATAAATTATAAATATAAGATAATATAAGATAAATATAAGATAAAAAGGTTATGGTGAAGAAAAGTTGTATGTAAGCATACCTGCTTTGAAGATATTTAAAACCAAAATTCTAAGGGCAGAAAGGTTTGGCAAAGACAAACTAGGCAAATGAAGGCAAAGAAGCATGTTTTTTCCACGTATCCATAACTTTTTATAAAATAAGCATTTTGTACTTAAAAATTGCTTTGCATTTTGAACAACTAAACTTCTTTCCCATCCTGAGACAGAGCAGTCCAAATGGAAAGTTATAATGAAATTCACTTATTTCCAGTGGGGAGATTTAAAAGGTGGATTAATCCTTAAACTGGATTTAAAAGCAATTTTGAAGAGACTCTGGAATGTAGTCTCATTCACATCCTAAACTCTGCACTAGTTTTGCTAGAAGAGAATAATCAGTTCCTCACAACCTCCAATTGTGTAAGATAATGTCAACTAGCATTCTAATTGCAATGTTAATTAAAGACACAAGTGTTAAAACAACAAAATGCCTTCTTCCAGAATTTTAAAATGTGGTAAAGTGCTTTGTTATATAATGGTTTCTGTTCTATTTATGAAATATAGAAAAACACGCCTTCCTGTCTAAAATCCTCTCTTTGAAGAGTTCTGGGTTGTATATGGTAATAGCAAATTGCTCCTTGACTGTACTGCTGATAGTACAGTAATACCTGGAGAAGGCTACATTGTGTAACAATCACAGATCTAAAAGGGCTCTCTGTAACACAGTTTCTTCAGGTTACTTATAAAATGTTGTCTTGTGACCTTGAATGCACTCCTTCGTATTGCAGGTGGTGCAGCCAATGTAAATAAATCCCTTCCCTTCCCTTCCCTTCCCTTCCCTTCCCTTCCCTTCCCTTCCCTTCCCTTCCCTTCCCTTCCCTTCCCTTCCCTTCCCTTCCCTTCCCTTCCCTTCCCTTCCCTTCCCTTCCCTTCCCTTCCCTTCCCTTCCCTTCCCTTCCCTTCCCTTCCCTTCCCTTCCCTTCCCTTCCCTTCCCTTCCCTTCCCTTCCTTCCCTTCCCTTCCCTTCCCTTCCCTTCCCTTCCCTTCCCTTCCCTTCCCTTCCCTCCCTTCCCTTCCCTTCCCTTCCCTTCCCTTCCCTTCCCTTCCCTTCCCTTCCCTTCCCTTCCCTTCCCTTCCCTTCCCTTCCCTTCCCTTCCCTTCCCTTCCCTTCCCTTCCCTTCCCTTCCCTTCCCTTCCCTTCCCCTATAACATTAAGCATCAAGTTTGAATACAGAGCTTGAAAATGAAAATTAAAGGTACAAACAGACATCATCGTCTGATTAGTAAACATTTGTATGTATAGGATTTCAAATGACCAACGTAGCTGATGTGTTTTAGTTATCAAATGTCAAACTTATTAGCCTCCTACGTTTCAATCATTTTGTATAGTACAAGGTACATGATAACAGAAATATATTCAAACATCTATTTTTACCTTCTTTTATGTAAAATTAAAAACAAACTGCAAGAACAACAAAATAAATGACAAAAAAGTGTAAGCGTGGTGCAAAGGGCAAAATAAATTGGCTTTGTGTCCTTAATGCCAACCACTTTCCTCCTGAAAATTCTCCCTGGCAAATGCTGCCCCTAAAAAACCCTCTACACATATACATGCAAATGGAAGTAGATTACACGAAGGTGGAAGTATAATTTCTAAGTATGGAATAGGCTGCTAATATATAACTGTAAATGGTTGTGTTCTAAGTCTATTGCTTTGCCATCACTTTTTTTTAGGTGGATCTTGGATGAAGAGACTGACCAAATTAAAAATATATATGTATATATATTAAATAAAGGGATCTCAGAATATGCTTCTGTTTCTGTATAGAGGATATTTTTCTACATCTCCTGTCCTCCACCTTGGATTTTGTTGATGCATAGGTAAGAAGAGTCCTTAATACATTGTTTCTTTATGAAAAATAGTTAAGTAACCACTGACTCTGCTCTGCAACTCTCCTAAGCACAGAAGTCAAAACAAGGCCCTTTGACAGGGCTTTTTTGAGATCACATAGGCTGAAGTGTAAAAACTGTCTCACATGAAAGTTACTGTACATCACATTGTGAGATTGATATTCATGTGTTTTACATAAATATGAAGCTTCTACCTGAATTTTGGTTTTCTATTTCAGATCAAACTAATTGCAGTAAGAAACTATACAATTCCCACAGGTGCCTTTCCAAGAAGTTCCTTTATGCAGAGCTGGAGAGGAGGCAAGATGTTGGCATAGCTGTTGACCTAAAAACCTGCTATGCCAACATATTGTCATCTTTCTTGTCTGTTTGCGGCAGAGGCAAATTCTACATTGTAATGGGCATTTGGAACAGGTTTAGTCTTTACAGACATCTTGAAATGCTATTTCTCTGGCCCCATCTTTGAGTTAATTTGGCAAGTGGTTATTCATTGTGTAAATGCGGACTCCTTCAGATTATATTTTGTTACTCAAATGACAAACAGTTTAACTTGCTCTGAAAAAGTTAGTGTAGAGATACAGAAAGAAAAGGTCTGGGAAGGTCTGAGGAGTCTGTCAGGGGACAGGATAAGCATTGAGCATTTCACTGCCTTGCCTGTACCTGTGTAGAGAGAAATTGAGTTATCAGTTGGCAGCCTTCATGAGGAATAATTCCATTTATAATTTTTTGCCCATACTCTTGATTATATACTCTCTCCCCTCTACACACACATACACATTTTTAATGTTTGTACTTTCTGGTAAGAACTGTCAGGTAAAGGATTTTGAGCAATGAGAATACCATCATAGTTGATGAATGAGTACCCACTAAAGAAATGTTGTAGCTGCATTTTGCAGAATCACAGAATCACAGAATTTCTAGGTTGGAAGAGACCTCAAGATCATCGAGTCCAACCTCTGACCTAACGCTAACAGCCCCCACTAAACCATATCCCTAAGCTCTACATCTAAACGTCTTTTAAAGACTTCCAGGGATGGTGACTCCACCACCTCCCTGGGCAGCCTGTTCCAGTGCCTAACAACCCTTTCAGTAAAGAAGTTCTTCCTAACATCTAACCTAAAACTCGCCTGGCGCAACTTAAACCCATTCCCCCTCGTCCTGTCACCAGGCACGTGGGAGAACAGGCCAACCCCCACCTCTCTATAGCCTCCTTTAAGGTATCTGTAAAGAGCAATAAGGTCGCCCCTGAGCCTCCTTTTCTCCATGCTGAACAAGTCCAGCTCCCTCAGCCGCTCCTCGCAGGACTTGTTCTCCAGGCCCCTCACCAGCTTCGTCGCCCTTCTCTGGACCCGCTCAAGCACCTCGATGTCCTTCTTGTAGCGAGGGGCCCAAAACTGAACACAGTACTCGAGGTGCGGCCTCACCAGAGCCGAGTACAGGGGGACGATCACCTCCCTAGCCCTGCTGGTCACAGTGTTTCTGATACAAGCCAGGATGCCGTTGGCCTTCTTGGCCACCTGAGCACACTGCTGGCTCATATTCAGCCGACTGTCCACCATCACTCCCAGGTCCTTCTCTGCCTGGCAGCTCTCCAACCATTCCTCTCCCAGCCTGTAGCTCTGCTTGGGGTTATTGTACCCCAGGTGCAGGACCTGGCACTTGGCCTTGTTGAACTTCATGCAGTTGACCTCAGCCCATCGGTGCAGCCTATCCAGATCCTCCTGCAGAGCCTTCCTACCCTCGAGCAGATCGACACATGCGCATAGCTTGGTGTCATCTGATTTCACTGATACTTTTCCAATCTTAAATAAATAAATAAATAAATCAGTAAAACAGTCTTGAAGAAGGTTGTGTTGGGTTTACATGGTGAGGTTTTGGTAGTGGGGGGCTGCAGGGGTGGCCTCTGTGAGCAGAGCCCAGCAGCTGCCCCATGTCAGAGCAGAGCCAGCTCCAAAAGGGTTCCACCACTGGCCAGAGATGAGCCAGGGAGTGATGCTGGGTGGGCCTCTGGGAGAGCAGAGCTAAAGAAGGGAAAGAAATGCTGGGCAACAGCAGCTGGGAGAGAGGGGTGAGAGCCAGCCCTGCAGCCCCCATGGGCAGTGCAGCAGGAGGTGCTCCAGGCAGGCAGCAGCAGTTCCCTTGCAACCTGTGCAGGGAGAGGCCCCTGGTGGAGCAGGCTGTCCCCCTGCAGCCCATGGGCCCCACATGGAGCAGATCTCCATGCTGCAGCTCCCCCATGCGTGGAGGAGCCCCCGGTGGAGGAGCAGGGGCAGTGACCACGAACGAACGAGGGGCAGAGACAAAGTGTTGCAGACTGACTGCAGTTTCCATTCCCTGTTCCCCTGCACTGCTCAGGGGGAGAAACTAGAAGAGGGTGGATGGTGGGGGTGGGAAGGTGTTTTTAGTTTGCTTTTAGTTCTCACTGCTCTAATCTGCTAGTGATAGGCAATAAATTACATTAATCTCCCTATGTCTGTTTTGCCCATGGCAGTAATCGGTGAGTGATCTCACAGTCCTTATCTCAAGCCAGAAGAAGTTTTATTTTGCTTTCTCCTCCTCTTCTGTTCAGGAAGGGGAGTGAGAGAGCGAGTGTGTGTTGCCTAGCTGCCCATCAGTGTTAAAACTACGACAAATGTGTCATGACTGCTGTAAAGGGAACCACAAAAAATGAAAATTTTCTTGATTAAATTATTTAAATGATGAAATGATTTTACCATATTTCTGGAATGATAAAATTCATATCCTCATTCTATATATGATGTTACTTAACAAAAATAGTTTTGCTTTGAAAAAATCTAAAATGAGAGTCATGATCAGGAGCAGCAGTGCTATTAAAAAGTAAATAAAGTGGAACAAAGCAAAAATTGACTTCAGGTTTTATACATTTCCAGCACTCCATTTGCAGTGACAACCCTTCACATCTCATGTGTCTAACGCTTTAGGATTGTTTTCTTAAGTACTGAGTTTGACCTGTATTTGCTGTAAAACGAGTGTTCCTTCTAGCCCCGCACAACCAGAGATGACAAAATTCTTGTTCATGCAAAGTTAAAAACTCCTATTTCTCAAAACTTAAAAGAGAACTTAGGCCTTTGTATTACCTGACATTTATATATTGTTTTGGCTGAGCTTAGTGAACTTGCTAGAGTACCATTATTCATTACTTTAAAGGGAACAAGTTTAAATCGTGTACACAAAATTAAAGTCCAAAGGAAATTGTACCACTAGTGTGATATCTGAACACTGCCAATGGAACTGGCTCCACATTTCTGTCTCATTGCCTCAAAATCACCTCAGCACCAAAAATAACAGAACGGATCATGCTTTGTACCGACTGATGCACGTTTTCTTTGCATCATAATAATTGTATGTTGTCTTGTTCCTCAGAAACTCTTTCAATTCCAGGTAGAATAGACCCATTTGAAGATTGTGTTATCCTAAATGTAAAAAAGAGGTTATTAAATATCCAGTGTACTCTCTGAACTTCATAAAATAACACATCTGCTACTTTCAATAGTCTGTGTGTTCTGTGTATGTCAAGATCAAAATTTAGGCTTGGTATCAAAAAAAAATCATCAAAAGAAAAATTCTGATCTTTTTGGTAGTTTTGCTAACATTTAAAACCACAAGATTTTTAAAACTAAAACTTTTTTTTTTTTTTTCCAGTGTTCACCAACAAATGCTATTCTGTTTAGAAGACACCTTTTCTGTACCTCCTACAACTATGGCTTAGGAAGAGTATCACAGTGCACTTTACTCCTGTCTTAAGGCAGGGTATGACTGTCTGGTGATTGCAGATTTTCAGGGAATATGCTGTCTTGATTATCAGTTCCTAGACAATACAGTTTAGTTTTTATTCCTACGAAGTGGTAGATACAGAATGCAGTGCAAGTACCAGGAAAGCACAGATTTAGAGTATTATATATAGTGGCCCTGGGTCTTACAAAATAAAAGTGTGTGTGTAAAGGATAGTTTGCATGTCCTAAGACTGTTTTGGTCGGGACTTCTATGTGTATACTTATAATATTTTTCTCTCTCCTCTAAACTCTATTTCCTTTTTTTTTTCTTTTTTTTTTTTTCTTCTTCTTTTTCTTTTTTTTCTTTTTTCTTTCCAACTTATATTCATTAATCATATGATAATGGAATGGGTCGTGTATTTCTTGTCTCAGATTGGGTACAGGTTAAATGGTTTAAAACTCTCAATACCATTTAAGAAAGCAATTGTTTGTTGTTTTTTTTTTTGTTTTTTTTTTTTTTTTTCATTCCCCTTTGAATTTATTAAGAAATAAATAAATAAATCATTTTACACTTGCATACTAACATTTTGTAGATATTTTCTGACAGCTTTTTCATTTTGAGATAAGTTTTGATTATGTTGCTGAATTTTGTAGTCTGTATTATGAGAGACCAGTGAGTGACTCAGAACAGCCTAGCAGTTGTGGACAGGCAGCCTTCTTTATTTCCGAAATTGCTGCAGAAGCACTAACTCTTCCATGTTGGTTCATGAAGCAGCTAAATTAGAATAGGTCTCAAAAATTAGAAACAAAAAATGACAACTCCAAATTTGAAAGGAAAATAATTCACAAAATTCCATTTGAGAATCAAATTTTTAGTAACAGATCAGAGACAAGTGAACTTTTTCTTTTCAGATAACAGTTGCATTTTTCAAAAAGCACTCCATGAATCAAAAATATGCTTTGTTTGGCCCTCTTCACAAACAAATATTACTGTTGTAATGCAAACATAGGCTACTCCTGCCTTGTAACTTCAAACTGGTAAAAAAGGTGATTCCTGGTAAAACAACCCAAGCAAGAAACACGTGAATCTGTACTGACATGCAAGCTCGTTTTTTATATCCTTCACTCTGAAAACAATGCATTTCAACAGCGGATCATGAATAAGTTTCAGTGTTGGTATTAACTGAACTAACTAAAGCCCAGTTAACTAAATGAAATACAGCACCATTCATTGCAAAAAAGAGCATGTTACAGGATGCTTTTGATTGTAATCAGACATTAAATAATGCTATCAACTACCAGAGTGTATCAGAAGAGGCAACTGTTTAGGTATATTTTTTAAGTGAGCTAGACATTCCATTTTGTCTCCTAATTTAAACTGGATTTAATTCAAGTAAGAATGGATTGGAAACCCAACATCCTTTTTCGTTCAACATTCCAAAATTTTTAGGTTTCCTGGACTAGACCAAGAAGTTGAAACTTTTAAACATTGTGAAAAGTTTGAACTTGGCCCTTCTGAAAAAAAGTATATTTTAGCAACAGTGAATATTTTTGATGCAGCTCCAACTTCAATAATGTTTTAGTAATACACCTATAGAGCCTAAGCAATAAGCCTTATCCTCAACAAACTACACAGAAATCAGTATATTCTGTGAAGATAGATGAATTATGGCAAAATCTCATTACCTCTGCAGAAAGCAGCTGCACTGTAGAAACAGTAGTGCTACTATACACAGACACTACAAATTACAAATACTGTATCATGAGAAACATTCTCAATAACTGCATTTCAAGTAAGGTTAACTGGGTTTACTTGTTTTGTGGGTGTATATATTTAAAATTTATGTTAAAGGTGTCCTGATATGTACAGAAGGGTGATTAGCAGCAGAAAAGAGCTGAACAAGAACAAAGAAAATTATTCTTGTCTTTCTTGCCAAAAGCTAGATTGGGCAGAATTACAAGAAAGGGGAAGGCAAAGTCCTGGAGTGAGACTCCGACCTTGCTGGGTGTCAGCATAACTACTGTTCTGTCTCTGTTTAGGACGAAGAGACTGCAGTGTAATTGAGTTTCCTCTTAACAAGGTCTATTTTTAACTTTTATTTTATGAACTATAGTCATTCAAAATGCACAGGTATTGTGCTTCACTGATCATTCTAACAAATACTCCTTTTTCATAGTGCATATACTCACTGCTCTCCCTTTGACACAGCACCAGAGGGAACGTGGAGGCCTCAGTGTGTTGCCCAGGAGAGACTTTACCCAGGAGGGAGCTTGGGAATTCAACACAGAAGTGCTCCATGAGGCAGACCAGTGGGTGAACCTTCATTAATTAGCAAAATTAAACAGCAGTTGGCAAGCTGGGCTTCTCTTATCGTGGAAACATACTGTCAATATAGCACAAAGGTTGTCCAAAAAAGGAAAATATCATTAGAGGGAAAAAAAAAGGAGGAAAAAAAAAAAAGAAAGAAAAAGTAATTGAAAATTAGTAACATGGAGTAGGTTCAGAAAAACATGGGAGAGGAAGCAGAAACTTTGTATCTACAGTGATCCCTGTTGCCCTCTGGACTGGATTTGAAACTTAAAATGTCTGTTTTCAACCAACTACATGTTGTGTATAGCATTGATTTTGCTCTTCTATGATGGCTACTTGATAATTTTTATCACAATTGAGAGATGCAGGGAGGTGAGAAAAGGCACAGAACAAAGATTGGTACTTTCACAGTATCAAAGGTTTCATACTTTTATAATTACGGCACAAATGAAAAATGGTTTCAGTCCATTGAGTTGTCTTAAGAGTAGCTGTCAAAATTGCTCTGGAATACAAAAGCCTATCCTCATCCAAATCAGCTGCAAATCTTCTTTATTAGAGAAGTATTATAACTTCTCATAGCACACACAGACCTACCACATAAATGAAAACAAGAAATGCTCCTCAGACAAAGCACTATATTCCAAGCTTTCAACGACCGATTGCTTTTCACTTTTTTTTTTTTTTTTTTTTTTTTTTTTTTCCCCCAGTAAATCATAGAGGTTTTGCTGGCTTGTCTTACTGAGTATAAATTTAAATACAGAATAATACGAAGTCATACCTTGATTAAATTATGTCAGTTTGAATATTGGGTTCACTGTTGGTTAGTTTCTTAAAATACTTTCATAACCAAGTAATTTCTTAGATTGTTAGCATGATTGTACTCAAGCATGATGTGTAGTCATGGTTGTTAGCATGATTGTACTCATACTAGCACTTAAAAAATACTCAGTTTCTGATAGCCATGATACGACTATGCTCCCTAATACCAACTACTTTTGTTGTAATTAGAAGCAGTTTTATTCATGACTTCTGTTAATTCTGCATGTTGATCTTTAGTCATTGAGGGATAAATTGCAGTATTTCTGATTGATTATTTCCACACTATTAAGTGATTAAGATTAATTTCTTATTTAAGTTATGGGGGTTTACTATTTATGTTCACTGCTACATCTGTGTTTAGAGCTGCAAGATTTTCTAGTGCTGAAATACATACCAAACTGGAGAGTAAGGAGAAACAAGATGGATATAATTGGGTAAGAAGTGGAATTTGACTGACTACTTGTTGCCATTCAAGAAGGAAAAAAGTATTCAAGAAAGACAAGGTAAGGTTAATAATGGTACTAAAATGGTACTAAAATGGTACGCTTGTACTCGTGGGGGACTTCAACTTCCCTGACATATCCTGGAAGCACAACACAGCCCAGAGGAAGCAGTCTAGGAGGTTTCTGGAGAGAGTGGAAGATAGCTTCCTGACGCAGCTGATTAGTGAACCTACCAGGGGCGGTGCCCTGCTAGACCTTCTCTTCACAAACAGAGAAGGACTGGTGGAGGATGTGATTGTCGGGAACAGTCTTGGGCAGAGTGACCACGAAATCGTGGAGTTCACTCTTCTTGGCGGGGCCAGGAAGGGAACCAGTAAAACCACTGTATTGGACTTTCGGAGGGCTGACTTTGGGCTGCTCAGGACACTAGTTGGTGGAGTCCCATGGGAGGCGGTTCTGAAGGGCAGAGGGGTCCAGAAAGGCTGGGCGCTCTTTAAGAGGCAAATCCTAATGGCGCAGGAGCGGTCTATTCCCATGCGCCCAAAGATGAGCCAGCGGGGAAGAAGACCAGCCTGGCTCAACAGAGAATTGTGGCTTGAGCTTAGGAGAAAAAAGAGGGTTTATAATCTTTGGAAAATTGGGCAGGCCACTAAGGAGGACTATAAGGATGTAGTGAGGCTGTGCAGGGACAAGATTAGGAAGGCCAAAGCTCATCTGGAGCTCAATCTGGCTACTGCTGTTAAAGATAACAAAAAACGCTTTTATAAATACATCAACACAAAAAGGAGGACTAGGGAGAATCTCCATCCTTTACTGGATGCGGGGGGAAACTTAGTTACAAGAGATGAGGAAAAGGCGGAGGTGCTTAATGCCTTCTTTGCCTCAGTCTTTAGCGGCAAAACCGGTTGCTCTCTGGATACCCAGTACCCAGAACTGGTGGAAGGGGACGGGGAGCAGGATGTGGCCCTCACCATCCACGAAGAACTGGTTGGTGACCTGCTACGGCACTTGGATGTGCACAAATCGATGGGGCCGGATGGGATCCACCCAAGGGTACTGAGAGAACTGGCAGAGGAGCTGGCCAAGCCCCTATCCATCATTTATCAGCAGTCCTGGCTATCGGGGGAGGTCCCAGCTGACTGGCGACTAGCAAATGTGACGCCCATCTACAAGAAGGGCCGGAGGGCAGACCCGGGGAACTACAGGCCGGTCAGTTTGACCTCAGTACCAGGGAAGCTCATGGAGCAGATCCTCTTGGGAGTCATCATGCGGCACTTGAAGGGCAAGCAGGCGATCAGGCCCAGCCAGCATGGGTTTATGGAAGGCAGGTCCTGCTTGACGAACCTGATCTCCTTCTACGACAAAGTGACGCGCTGGGTGGATGAGGGAAAGGCTGTGGATGTGGTCTACCTTGACTTCAGCAAGGCTTTTGACACCGTCTCCCACAGCATTCTCCTCAAGAAACTGGCTGCTCTTGGCTTGGACTGGTGCACGCTTCGTTGGGTTAGAAACTGGCTGGATAGCCGGGCCCAAAGAGTTGTGGTAAATGGAGCCAAGTCCAGTTGGAGGCCAGTCACTAGTGGCGTCCCCCAGGGCTCGGTGCTGGGGCCGGTCCTCTTTAACATCTTCATCAATGATCTGGATGACGGCATTGAGTGCACCCTCAGTAAGTTTGCAGATGACACCAAGCTAGGTGCGTGTGTCGATCTGCTCGAGGGTAGGAAGGCTCTGCAGGAGGATCTGGATAGGCTGCACCGATGGGCTGAGGTCAACTGTATGAAGTTCAACAAGGCCAAGTGCCGGGTCCTGCACCTGGGGTGCAATAACCCCAAGCAGAGCTACAGGCTGGGAGAGGAATGGTTGGAGAGCTGCCAGGCAGAGAAGGACCTGGGAGTGATGGTGGACAGTCAGCTGAATATGAGCCAGCAGTGTGCTCAGGTGGCCAAGAAGGCCAACGGCATCCTGGCTTGTATCAGAAACACTGTGACCAGCAGGGCTAGGGAGGTGATCGTCCCCCTGTACTCGGCTCTGGTGAGGCCGCACCTCGAGTACTGTGTTCAGTTTTGGGCCCCTCGCTACAAGAAGGACATCGAGGTGCTTGAGCGGGTCCAAAGAAGGGCGACGAAGCTGGTGAGGGGCCTGGAGAGCAAGTCCTATGAGGAGCGGCTGAAGGAGCTGGGCTTGTTCAGCCTAGAGAAGAGGAGGCTCAGGGGTGACCTTATTGCTCTGTATAAGTACATTAAGGGAGGCTGTAGCGAGGTGGGGGTTGGCCTGTTCTCCCATGTGCCTGGTGACAGGACGAGGGGGAATGGGCTAAAGTTACGCCAGGGGAGTTTTAGGTTAGATGTTAGGAAGAATTTCTTTACTGAAAGGGTTGTTAGGCACTGGAACAGGCTGCCCAGGGAGGTGGTGGAGTCACCATCCCTGGAAGTCTTCAAAAGACGTTTAGATGTAGAGCTTAGGGATATGGTTTAGTGGGGACTGTTAGTGTTAGGTTAGAGGTTGGACTCGATGATCTTGAGGTCTCTTCCAACCTAGAAATTCTGTGATTCTGTGATTCTGTAAAAGTACTTCTGATTGCTGAAGAACAAGAAGGAATTGGAAGAAAGTCTGCACGTACAGAAGGAAAACTATTTCAGTTATTCCCTCCTTTTCCATCACCTGATAAAACTTGCTTATTTCTGCTGCAGACCTGTGTGCATATGTGTATACAAAATGGTTTATTGGTTGATTCATAGGTATATAGCTATGTGTGTGAGCACATAAGTAATTCTGAAATGTCTTGTTAAGAATTTATTTAACGTATTTTAAAATTAATATATTATCAAATCATTCTTTTATTATCTTTCCCACTTCAAAATGTATCTTTCTTTAACCACAATAAATAAAAAGGCAGAAACACAAATGTCTCTTCTATTCCTCTACAGAGCACGAGTAGCTATACTTTCTGTAAATAAATTCAACATTTCTTACACCCTTGTTTTACAGTCAAAAAACTTACTAATAGATATATATGATTCACAAGAAATTAACATTAAGAGCACAAATAATTGCTCATGTGTATGTTTAAATGTCTTCTCCTTTTCTCAAAGTGGATAAATTTTGGATAAATTTTGAATCTGGATAAATTTTAATTTATAGGCAGTATTTCTTCAAGCAATGTACTGTGTTTTCTAAAGTAACTGGAAGGTGATTTGGGCTCCTGGCTACTCACCTGTGCAGATCCCCTATTTTCATGTATGATACACATAATGCAGTAAATTGATTCTATCATTTCTGTATTGGCTGCTAATTTATTCTCCAAAAATATCCCCACAAACACAATGCACACTCTACCACATCCAGCTTCTGCTGCAGAATAGGATACAAGAATTCATTTGTATACATATTTAACTTCACCTGGATAAGTATATTTTCATTAATGAGAGGTTGGAAACCTGGACAAATGGGAGTAGAAAATTACATCCAGAATTTGAGGAGAAGAAGGATTTCCAGTGTTATTTCTGAACAGTGGTGACTTTGCAAGAGCCTCATCCAGAAGAGCTACCACAGCTGCTTTATCCAAATGTCTAGAATCTACTGTAATGGTGCTACAAGATTGGATCCTTTTTTATGTTATTGTCTTTGATTTCAAATGACAAAGAAAGCATGATGGATGTTGCAAACAATAAAGACATAATACCTATCTGTAACTTCAGTTCTGTTAAGGCAGCGTTTATAAATAGGTCTCTCAGTGCTTTCATCTATATTGTTTACCTTGATCGTATCACTTCAGTTTCCAGCCTACAGCTCTTCAGGGCAGCGCGTTTACCTCTAGCTTTTCCAACCCCAAACTTAGACAGTTGTTTCTGAAAACAAATGTCTTCACAAGGTAACCGGCGCCCCCTTGTGTTCTTATTGCAGAGAGGCGAATCCGTGATAACACCAGCACATAATTCACTGCTTAATGCACCTTCCATTACCACAATTCTGACGTGATAGCAGGGAGCTGAAGGCTCACACCTGTTCCTCCACTAGCTGGCTATTGCCCACATGGGAAAAAAAATGATTATCACAGCTATGCACACCTCATATTGTAATTTTCACAAACACCATCAGAAATCTTTGAGCTGAGCTCAGTTGAAATGAACTTTTGCCCCAGTATTTCTGTGGAACTACTGTTAACTTTCCAAGACGCAAAGAAATATCTCAAAAAGAGTTTTCATCCCATGTTAAACAGAGGGCAGGAAGTCTTCAATGGGTTTTTGAAATTTCTCATGTTTTTTTTTTTTTTTTTTTGTTTTTGTTTTCATCAAGCATTTATGCCTTGAAGTTGCACAGGAAATAGTGCAATAGCAGTGGAACAGTGTAAGTGCATTCAAAGCAGAATAAATACTTGGTGTGGAAAGAGTACAGCATTACTACCTGAATAAAAGCATGAATGATGCTTTATGTTTTACCATGTGAACCGTTCCCTTATTAAAAAAATTAGGGAGATTGCCAGCCCCTAAACTGCCCATAAATTAAGATTTTTCTCTGTTCTTGCTACCTTATAGAGGAAAATAGAATTCCATATCTTTTGCAAAGAGTTGTCTGTAGAAACTACCCAACAACTTCAGTGTTTAATAGAGAACTGTATGTTTCTGCAGCTTTTCAAAAAACACAGAATTATGTAGCATATACTGTTCTTATTGCACTGCAGCAATTCTGCAGGAATCCTTCAGTAAGGTCACCATTTTGTGTTTAATTTTATGGGCTTCTCTATGAATGAAGTCCATCTGTGTATACTGTACATGAATGTAACCATAGTATATCAACTTTTTATTTATGCTTATCTATGTAGATTTTGTAAATTTTGCAAGTAGAATCTTGAATAACCTTTCCACAGAAGAAGGATATTAGCAAAACAAGATAATTTTGAATCCAATTTAAATTCACAAGGTGATATATATATGTGTGCATATATATATAAATAAAGTATCAAAGTTTGTAGTAGATGAGTGACACAGAAAACATTATGTACTGTATGAGAGCTAACAGTAGTGCTGAATGCACTGATAAAGAGCTACAAATATATTTGAAGAACAAATTACTTCTGACCTTACTCAAATTTATGCCATCTAGTGTTTATCAGGAATACAGCAATGTATGTGTGGTAAGGGATGAGTAGCATGCAGCCTGCTCTTGAAATCCAGGTGGGCCACAGTGCACCCAGCTGAGGACGTAGGTGTGCCTTCACAT